TCAGGACTGCTGAGAGGATTATTGGTGCCCCTCTACCCAACTTCCAAGATCTTTACATCTCCTGAGTGAGGAAAAGGGCTAAGAAAATCACTCTGGACCCTCCACACCCAGCCCACTCTCTCTTTGAACTGTTGCCCTCTGGCTGTCGCTACAGAGCGCTGTGCACCAAAACAGCCAGACACGAGAACAGTTTTTCCCGCCAGGCCATATCGCACCTGAAAAAACACATAACACACCTCAGTACTGCACAGCTGTAAATAACTCATTAAACCTTCATCTGTAAATAGAACATATGCACATTCAGTTTTCCTTTTTCTGTATATTTTTATTACTATTGTTATTCATAATTTATTGTCTATTCTCTCATTTTATGTATGTCTGCACTTTGTTTGTATTCTCTGTACCGGAAGCTCCTAACACCAAGATAAATTCCTTGTGTGTGTGAACACACTTGGCAATAAAGCTCTTTCTGATTCTGAATACTAGTATTCACACTTTGACAATCCAACATTTTTTAGTGGATCTCTTTTTTTCTGATTTTGAAGAAAATATGCAGACTGAGACATGAGTTCATATGTTCATCCATTCATTGTATATGTTGTGCTATTTAAATTGCATTTTGTCAGTGTGAACAGACCTTTAACTAAACACAAATGTGTGATGCAAACAAGATTTTGATTAGATACATAGTATTCCTATCGACTTATTCAGAACGGGGATGAACATCCATTATTTATTTATTTATTTTATTATTATTTTTGTTTTTTTTGATGGTCTGGCAATGAACACGCAATAACCAGATGCACTAACATGTGTTTCATGTGGGTTAGTGTTTTGCTAACCCACATGAAACACTGAATTATCTGGAAACAGCATTAAAGATGGATGTGAAGCTAGAGATTCTGTTTTTTTGATTCTTTCTCTCATAAATAAATCAAACGGCACATATTGGAGTTATTAATGAAATTAGCATCTTGAACTTTCTTCTCTTGCATTCTGTACTTCTGATACTTGAATGGCAGACCATCTGAAAGGTGCATTGGGGTTATGCCATTGTTCCAGTGCAATTCTGCTTTTAATGTGAATAGACCATTAGTCTGCTATTAATTTAGATTTTTTTTTTTTATCGTTTCCTTTTGAGTTTGTCCCTTACACAATAGGCTGCTTATTTGACAAAGCTTGAAAGACATCTCCGCCAATTGTAATACAATTTTATTATGGGTAAAAAGTACATTTATAAAAGGAAATATTGCTTTGTTCGACAGGAATACATAAAATCTCTTTACTCAGGCCATGTGCTAAAAAGAAACAAAACAAAAAAAACATCAGTCAGATTAAGAATTTAATGTGTACCATGTCATTTAATGTTATTTTTGGTGCTTTCTGCTTTTATCCTGTAGTTTCTTTTTTTGTCTGTACTATTCTTTTAATTTTTACTTTTTTACTAATCTTTAAATTATTATTATTATTATTATTATTATTATTATTGTGATTTTTTTTTACTTTTTCCTTTGTGGTCATTAAAACATCGTTATTACCCACTACATTTTTTCTTTCTTTTGAACAATCACAATATTTTCTTTTCTTTTACCCACAGTTGGTTCTGCTGTTATCAATAATTAACATAGTTTAAAACTCCGATTAGTCCTAAACCGTGTTTATTGAAGGCTTTTCAGTTGTTGACAGTTTGTTGGCATAATGAATTTCTGCAACACAAATTGCAGCCAACGTTCATCCGTTATTTTCTCTATTGTCAGCTAAATGGCTCTTAATCTGAGTGTCTGTAGAGACCTCAAATGTAGCTATTGTCCCTGTTAATAAACAGCGAACAGAGTAATTAAACTACACAGCCATGAGGGATTATGCTGTTGTTTTGAGGGAGAGTGGGCTGTTGTACTCTGAGGGTGTATAGAATTCCACTTTTATAGACAAATAGATAAAACATACTTCTCTTCTTGACCAAGTGCCTCCGTTTTACATTGCCCTGAGAAAGAGAGAGTATATCTCTAAAAAAAACTTCAAGGCTTAAAAAGCTCCAAGGCTTTGCAGTAAAAACTTGGACTACAATTCCTATAAAAAAGTATTCACCCCTTGGAAAAGTGTGTGTGGTTTTTTTCCAACATTAAAACACAACTGATTTAGTTTGGCTTTTTCGACAATGAGCAACAAATGTGTTCTTTTTTAATGTCAAAGTGAAAACAAATTTCTACAAAATTTACCTCTCCTTTTTCCAAGGTTTGCAAATTTGACACCTTGGCCAATATCTTATAATTTTGTGCTTATTAAAAAAGGTTTAAAAAAAAAGGTTAAAAAAGGTTGTATGTGTTGTGTATGTTTTGTTTTTGTTTTTTTGGTGATGAGAAGATAAACTGTGCCAGACACCATTTCTCATCTACCAGACAAACACTTAATCTGTGATGGTGACCTACAAATTTAGAGATTATTGTAGTATGTCAGAGCAAAACGGTCCCTGAGACCCGCGTCATGACAAGTTCCAGTGTGTCCCATCGGATCCTATATGGTCTTAGCCCCCCCCCTCGCCAAATAGTGGCAAAAAAATAAGTCTTTGGAACTAATTAATGTTAGGGCATATATCTTTCAAATAAATGTAAATACACACAAATTCTCCTCCTGATTTGTTCTTATTACTCCTCAGTTCATTACTATATATACTGTAATTTCAGTGAGAAGCATAGATCAAGATCTTCTAATCTCTCCTCTTCCACCAAGACAAGGTTGTTTCAGTTCAGCAACCTTCCAGGAAGTAAAAGATAGGCTCAAATTTGTTGACACAAACTGTATAATTCATCCTAAATTGCTTGTAAAATGTGTCACATGGGATCGGCCGGGAAACAATAGGAGCTAAAAGCTAAAACCCAGAATTTTAGAAATTACACTAAGTTTACATTACTTAGCTATGCTATTAGTCATGTCCATGTTATTAGTATTAGTTGTGTACAAGTATACTGTACATTCATTAACCCTATAAACTATAGGGTGCCATCTATTTCAGGATCAGGATTTAATGTGACTCTCCCCATGAGTGTCTGCTTTTGAACTGGGGGACTGTTGAAATACGACCTCATATATACCCTCTGGGTTTTAAGGCTCCTTAAATGGTAATGATAGAGATGGTATTTAGTGTGCTCTCTTTCCTGGACAGTTGACTTTACCAGTACGTGCAAGTCTTTTGTTTAGCTGAATGCAGCAGAAGGTCATGTGCATGAGAATTAATACTGTTTAAGAGGATTCCAGACAGATGGTATTTCTTTGTTTGACCATTGTTTTATTATTATTAAAAAACGGGGCACTCACCATTTAAATGTGGATGTTTAGAATAAAATAATAGTTGAAGTGTCTTTGTGTCTTTAGGTCTCATTTAGCACACATCACTTTTAATTCATATGTAACCCCTAAGTGCAGTTTATTCTTTCTGTCCTCCCATCAATTCGGGGAGGGAGGGGGACAGAGAGAGGGAGGGGGGCGGAGAGAGAGAGCATGTGTGACTGTTTACAGCTGGGACTGTTTATGTCAACCTGACTGGCAGTGGAGTGGCTGTTTTTCCTCGCCTCACGGATTCTCTCTCCTCCGTGTATCTGCTTGTAGTCTTCCTTTACGCGAGATCCTCTTCTGCCGAGCTCGTATCGTTTATGAATCAATTATCTGCGCGAAATCCGTTCTGACAAAATATTTACATATTTGAGGTGGACTGTAAAATACTCCTATATTGGAGCGAGAGAGACCAGGCAAAGGGAAGTGTATCCAACATACTCGTTTCCAAATGGATGGGATGAAACCAGAAACGACGGCTGAGGAGAATCAGGATGAAAGGGAAGAAAGCAAAGGTTTGTAACTGTGTATTCGTTTTGTTTTGTGTTTCGACTCGGATTTATTCTGCTCGTGCTAGATGTTTAGAGAGCGGCTTAACCTACTTGCGAATTAAGGCTTCGCTTTGCGCGCCAATCGAATATTTTATTGATTGAGGGTCCTCCTCGTGTCATTCACTTAACATTCAAATTCTTTTATGTCGTTGATTCGATTAGAGAACGCGCATTTTTATGCTACCTTTGGAGCGCTGGTTATGTCAAATCTCTCCTCTGCGTCTTTGGAGAATCGTTTCCATCGCTGCCAGTGATGATGATTTGAATAAGCGCAGCTCCTGTTAGTGATTTACTCTACGCAATAATAAAAAAACACATTTCTTTTGTCTGATGCGTCAATAATAAATACTATACTGTATCGTATCACTATATTAAGCATATTCTAAATGTTGTTTTGTCTTGGTGTCGATAGTATTGTTGATGGTGACGAGATGGAGGTGTCGCATTGTATTGAAGGTGTTGTTTACATTGCTGTAGTGTTCGCTGGTAAAACTAATGGAAGAATTCCTCTGGTTGTGATAGATTTGATTTATACATTTGATGAATTCCTTTGCTGTTCAACGTCGCGCTATGTAAACATTTTTGACAAAAATCATTGGAAACCGAATGCATGCTTTGAATATGTAAAGCACCTGAAGAAAACATGCCCTCAAAGCGCCATTTATCAGGGCACTCTACATAAATCGCGCGTAGGCTATGTGTCTGTAAATACAAGTTAGCCTATCTGTGATTTGAGTTCAGTGATGGTTATGGTTCAGGATTATCTGAACAAGGTTTTCTGCTCGAGGACTCCCCTCTTGACCCTCCCCACCTGACTTTTTATTCATGCTTCCGGACTATTTGTGTAATACTTTTGTGTTGAAGGAGGTATGGATTTGATAACTGTGCTGTTGTGCAATAAAATCCAAGTTCTCCACAAGCATCAAAGCAACAAGGAGGATGCTCCTTCACTCCACCCACTGGTGCATTTGCTTCATCATATAACTACTATATGCCGTGAACCATTGGAGATGTAGCCCATATTTGTTAATATTCACAGCTCATAAAATCATGACTATCATGACATTCAAGCAGATCATTCCATATGGCTTTATTCTTTCCACTGTGTTCTTATCCTCGATTCCGTGTTAAATTTTGAACAATTTTGCCACCAGCATGATTAGATTAATACATTATGGAGAGAGAGAGACCTAATATGTGTCACAACTAAAATATGCAGAGATAAGTAGTCTTTATGAAAATTTGATGCAAGAACTGTTGGTCTCTGTCAGGTCAGCTTGCTGTAGATGCTTTCTCTTTGGTCATTCTTTGAGCTTTGGAGGCACATTATTTGTTCACTTAAAGGATAAGTTTGACAATTTTCAACTAGCTTTTTATTTTTACATTGTCGGTAGTGTATGTAAATGAGCAGTATGTTTTGCAGTTTTGTATTCTCACCCACAGACAGTCAGAATAGCAGAAGGGCGGTGCCATAATCAAAGTGCATTATGGGTGTTTTTCATGTTTCTAGGTAGACAGCCAATTTGATTAAAAGCTCATCTTCTCAGCTGTGAAGTTCAACTTTAATAAGGCAACAGTTACATTGAAACAGGTGCTCTGATGCTTTGTCCTGGATAGGCTGATTGATTTTGGAGTTGACATGAAATCAAAATGGACTTGAATTGATTAATTTTCTTAAAGGGGTCATATGATGCGATTTCAAGTTTTCCTTTCTCTTTGGAGTGTTACAAGCTCTTGGTGCATAAAGAAGATCTGTAAAGTTGCAAATACTAAAGTCTCAAATCCAAAGAGATATTCTTTATAAAAGTTAAGCGTCAACCACACCTCCCTAAAACGGCTCATTCTAACATGCCCCCACATGTCTACGTCACGATGTGGAAATATTAACATAATGCCGCCCAAATGTTTCAGGAACAGCAGTAGTGTTGATGCAGTCATGTCAGGGAGACGCTGTGTGTTTCAGTGCGAAAGCAAAAGCACTTTATTTGGCCTTCCAGAAGTAGATGCAATTAGGAATCATTGGTTAAGATTTATTTACAACAGAACAGCACAAC